ACAACGACAACAACGACAACAGCAACAAACACACTGGGAAAGGGAATCAGTAACATAGTTCATCAGATTCAACACACAAACGCAAACAAGAACGAGTATTCCCACAACGGCAGCACGAATGACAGCAACATGAAAACGAAGAGCCACAACGATAAAATAGTCATACAATCCTCGTCCCAAGGGCATGCAGAGAGGGTGGCTTTATGCTGCCTAATGCTCAAAAGCCCCTCCCTTTCGAACTTCTCTCCGAGAGTCGGCCGGTTCTTGGCTTCCTTCAAAGGAATACCAGTAATATACGGGGCTTCATAAGTGGGATAGGGTTGTGGGCGCTCCTTATTGCAATTATAGTATAATAGGCCCCACCACCCTACTCTAATTACTAAGGCCCCCATAGTTATTAGGTTGCGGGACTCGGTCACACCCGGAACATCCAGGAAAGGATCTGCAGGTTGGGAGTTTGGAGAGGGAGTTACCCATAGGCCCCATAGTAGTTCTTTTTGGGGATTACCTTATAGGTATTCTAAATATGAACCCCAAAAAGGAACTATTATGGGGCCTATGGGTTGAGCTTGATGGTAACTGGGGTTCGGGATTTTGGGCTTTCTGCTAGAGGGCATCTTCCTCGGGTGGGGGGCTCGGCACTGGTTCAAGTTCGACGCATCGGAAGACATTCACCTCGTGTTCGGTTACGGTTGGGCCTCCGAAACCCGGTCAGCCCGATATGGGTTTGGGTCTAAACCCTAGAAACCCTAAACCCTAAACTTCGTAAACCCTACTTAGAGGATCATGGGACTTAGTAAGTAAGGTTATAAGTCCCTTAATTGGGGTTATAAGTATAGTAACCTTAGTTATAACCACACTTACTAAGTCCCATGATCCTACAAGTAAGCCAAAGGGCATAGAAGCTGACCATGGCATTCCAGGCAGTGCCAATGCGGACGCCCATAAAGGTGCAGATGCCACCGCTGACGACGTTCCAGGAGTAGCCTCGTTTTGGGGTTTAGGGTTTAGAAGGATCTGGGGTGGGTCAAGGGAGCTTGATGAGTTTTGTAAACAGAATTGCGTTGCTTCGTCCGAACTCTGCATCCGAAAGCGCTCCACATCTGTTTTTGAGTTTTCAGTTCGGCGGCAAGCTTCCGAACTTAGCACAGCCGTAAGGAACAACAAGTCCGACGCAAACAACAACTACACGGCCTCGGCAACTGCAGGGGAATTCTGCGTTGCTTGCTTCCCGGGCCTTTTCGTTGTCTCTTCATAGGGAAAACGCACCGCCAAAAAACAAGTGGGCCCCAAAAGGGCAACCAACAGGCGCCAACAAGGCAAACACAGAGCTCTCACAAAATCCGGATCGCGCCGGACACTGCTGCCTTTTTGCTTGTGCGTTTTCCCGTAGAAGACACAACGTCCTGGCCTAAACCGATCAGCGAAAATCGTGATCCGGATTTCAACTCAATTTCTGGGTTGTTTCATCAACGTTCTGTGCTCTTGCCATGTCAGCCCCTGCCAGTCCAGCAGTACTCGCCAGCCCGTACGGACGAATGCGATCACGAGCGTGATTACAAATTGCGCCTGCAACTTCGAGGTCCCCCAGCCCTGCTCGAAGCAACAAGGGCGACGGTGGGAAACGAGGAAAGTGAAGGAATGATTGGTCAGGGTACCAACAGTAGTAGCATCAGCCGCTACATAATCATAGCGGCGTAGATTATAGAACTTTAGCGCCGTCGCCGTCAACATCGTCGTCGTAGCTGCAGGAAGGAGAAAATTGTAATTGTAATGATTCCTACGTCTATCGAGATTTGAATCTGGTGTCAATGCTGGCTCTGTGTTGGTGCTACTTTCTCATGTTCTCTGGCATCATACTTACAAGCCCTGCACTCTCACAGCGCTTGTCATGAAAATGATCTGCTACCCTAGGATACAAACTCATACCCCCAAACCCGAAAGCCCCCAGAAACTCCTCCAAACCCAAGGTTCCAAGCCGCAGGTCAAACTGGCCGAGGACTTGTGCGGGTTCACTTAGACCCGAAACCCTAAACCCTAAACCCTAAACCCTAAACCCTAAACCCTAAACCGTTTAGGAATCGGGCCCGGGGGTTTCGGAATGGGTCTGGGAATCAAGGTGAAGAGCTGTCCTCGGCCCTGGGAGTGGTTTAGGGTTTGGGGCTTAGGGTACAGTCTAGGGTTTAGGGCTTGGGTCTAGGGCCAGGGTCTTGGGGTTTAGTGTAGGCTTTAAACTTTAAACTTAGAGGTTGTCAAGGCCCCTTCGTCACGACTGCAGTCCAGGTGGCTTTGAATGTGCGGGTCTTGCGAGTTCAGCAGGTAAAAGATGCTCAGCACAAACCTCGCAACGGGAAAGCATTGAAAGGTTCATAGTATCATCTTATGTGGCTTTGGTGTCTTGGTTTCTGCATTTTGAACCTAAGGAGTTTAAGATCCAGGGTTCGTGGCCTACGGGCTACGCGCGAAACACTGTGTGTGTGGGGCGCGAGCTCATTTTGAGGAGGTTTCGGGTTATGGGTGGGCGGAAGATTCGAGCCCAACATCTCTCAACCACCCCCCTGAAGGCTCTGAACCCTCTCAAGTCTCACGGCACCGTATAAAATCAGCCAGAAGGCGCCACACTGCCAATGAGCATGAGCGAGAGGGCGAAAGCTGCATCATCGCCGGCGTCCATGGCGACAAGTCGGCAAGAGAACCGAAACCCCAAAGCTTCAAAGAGCAACCTCTTTGGAAAGCCCCGGAAGGTGACTCACGGCCCAGGCGCCTGCGCGCGAGAGGCTCGCAACCACTGAACTGAAGAAAGCAGGACAATGACAGTGCGGCTAGCAAGTACGAGTAGATCCATAAGAGCGGCTATTATAGTCCTGTGTAGATGATGCCACGTGTGGTGAGTGAAACCGAGCGAGTGCCATCGGACGTGGAGACTGTGGGGATGTCGTGGGAAGCTGCTGAAATCCAACCTCTGACGGGGGGGGGCATCCGGCTTTCAATCCTGCAGCAGCTGCGAGCGGAAGCATGGCATCCAAGACCGCCCTTTCTAGCTTTCTTTGGGTTGTTGTGGAGCACCTGCCCAACGCAAAGCATCCCTGGTTGCTCCATTTTGAAGAGCCCCCTAACTTTGAACGTTACTTAAACCTTGCAGGCCCAACCCTGCGGAACCCTGGCAGGAAATCTCACAGAAACCCTACAGAAATCCTCAAGCCCAGAGTAGCGCAGGCCTCCTGCAGTCTTTACATCACTGCCTCTGCCTTCGCATGGCGAAAGCCATCCTCAAAAAGGGGCGGAAGGCTACAGTAGGGCCAATATACGTGCCATGGCTCTGGGACAAAGTGTACTAGCGATTACTAGTGCCCCTATGTAGGGGAAATTTGAAATATGAATACATGGATATTGATAGTACTGAGCACTCAGACCTCTATGTTGCCATGTTGGATTAAGGTTTAGCGTTTGGTGGTGTTGGAAGGCTTTCAAAGACATATAGGGTTCAGCCTCACGGTCTAGGGGTTTCGGGTCAGCTTCGGGGTAGGGTTTTAGGGTTTACCCTGGCTTTCAGGACACCGCAAATCCACACTTCACAGAGGTCTTGTAACCCCACCTTCAATCCTTGTTATTAGCGGACACTTATGCTGTTCTCTCGAAAAATTGGCGTTCTCGATTGGTGTGCAGGATTGATCTAGGTTAGACTTTGGAGGTAGGCAGGGTCTGGTTGAGTTCGGAGCCCAAACTCCTCACAGAGCTTTGCTTCTAGAGGTGGTTTGAAGAGACTCGAACGAGACTTCCGCTCTTGATCCACGGTGAACATAACCATGACTTATTGCATGTCAGTGGACGCACCATCGAAGCGTGTGTGGCTTACGCAGCAAAGTAAGATGAATCATCTTCTTACGCAATGTGGGTGCGCCTTACATCCTCAAACCCCACGGTAAACCCCAAAGGCAAAGTGCCAACCCCGCAGCGGGTACACCCCCAAGCGGGGCGAAACACGTCATGTTTTCTTGATCCTTGAATATCCTCGACTATCCTTGACTGCTGAGGCAGGTTGCTGCGCCTTGAAATTCAACATCCTTACTGTTGAACGACAACTCCCACTCGACTTTTTGACAGAAATGAAGGGAGCGACCAAAAGGACTTAAAACGGGGCAGATGTTAGTCACTCTGAAGGATGTTGCGGAAGGTCGTCTTCCCAGGTCTTCAGCATTCTCACCACCGTCGGATCCAGGCTGTCGACCCGCATTTCACGTGCCACTTGGAGTGCAGTTTGGCCCTCGTCATTGCGAGCATTTACGTCTGCCCTGCCCTTGAGGAGCATGTGAACCATGTCCGTCGCAGCACGATCATGCCCACGGCCAACTGCGAAATCTTCCACAGCCACGTGCAGGGGGGTCTTGCCGGCCTGATCCTTCACATGGATGTCTGCCTGAGGATGTGCTGAAGCTCGCCCATACACCCATAAGCCCTAGACCTAAACCCTAAACCCTAAACCCTAAACTCTAAACCCTAAACCCTAAACCCTACCCCTAAGCTTAAATCTAAAGGAGTCCGCCTTTTTCATGAGCAACAGGCTAACCATGCTGGCACCCCCGTGCTTCGCAGCGTAGTGCAAGGCAGTCTGCCCGGCGACAGGCTCCTGTAAGATAATCCGTAAAGCTGCTGGCTTTAGGATTTCGGGCTGCAGGCTGCAGGGTTGGCTTGGTGTGCTTGACTTTCGCTTGTGCTCTGGACTTATCGACATTAGATAATGTTTGAGAGTGATAAAGCCACAAAACCGTTGAGGCAAAACCCGGTTGTGTCAAAATTGTACAGCGGCTTTCAAAGTGAAGGGTCTTACAGCGGGTTACAAAGGACTGGGCATTTGGAACTGATTGACTTCAGGGCTCCACGTGATTTCTCAAGTATTGAGCTTCCTATTAATTTCCAAGACTCTGCAAATGCGAAGCCATGTTTCCTCCCCCTCACCATCTCCCCTGCCGATTTCTCCGGTCTGGCCCAGGGCAAAGCGGAAACGGGAATGGCAAGATCTTGGCCCGGCTTGGAAACTCATTGAAAATGCAAACCCTTCTGTGTAGGGAAACTTGAGGCTGATGGCGATAAAACTCATCTTCCGCGACATGTTCTACCACCTGAAACCTCATGGCCTTCAGGCCAGGCCAATACACAAAATGATCGCGCATTCAATGTAAAGAAGACAGATGGTGCTGGCGGCGGCGGCAGCAGCAGTGACGAAAATCTGGTGATAACAACAGTGATAACTCGTAAGCCAACACCGATCATTTTAACCGGAGTGCTGAAAACAGCTGCACTAAAACTTGCCAGAACAAGAAAGAAGTCTAGGGCATGTATGAGTTTCAGAAAATTAGGGTACCTTATTTTGGGGTCCTTATAATAGGGATCCTATTATTTAGGGTACTATATTAGGGTCCCCTATTTTCGGAAACCCCCATGTAAGCTGGTGTCTCCTGGTAGCGGATGTCTGCCTTCTGCTTCAGCAATCTCCTGACCACGGCCTCTTTGCCGAGCCATGCGGCCTTCATCATGTCATCATCCCGCGCGATCTTCTTCTTCTGCGCCTATGGGAGCTAGGATTAGGGGGA